TGGATAAATGAAAACCATTACTTATACTAAAAAAGGATTTTTCAACCATAGTCTTACTAAAATAGGAAAAAATATAGCCATCCCTCATATTTCATATTATCGTACTGGTAAAATCATGCACATCACTATTCCTTGTAGTGGTATTCGACAAGTGAACTTGAATAATCGGAAGTTTTTGATTATTGTTTACTATATATTGTTCCATTAAATAACATAATTTCATTCAAACAAGCCGGTATGAAACAGAGATGATTCCAACCTTCAAAAAAATACGATATTGAAGAACTTGAAGTAAATTGACACGTTGCAAGGTAAAAAAATTATAAATATGTATATGTTTAAATTAATTAATTATATACATAATAAAAACCAACTATTTGAACAATCTCTCAAAAGGCAAACTGTAACACTAAAGCTGTTCTTGTCATCGTATATAAAACGATGCAGTTGCATTTTACGTAGTGAATGTAAAAATAGATGTTTTTTTTTCTTTGCTTTAAATTTATATAACAGAACATTTATATATAATACTGTATGCGTACTGTATTTTTCGTAGAATGTGTAATTTTGAATTTGAGCCTAAATTAAGCTTAATTCGAGCCAAATTCGAAATAACGTCATGTGCGAAAATACGATCTATGTAATAAATTTCCACCGATTATAAAATAAATGATTTTTATATTTGTAAATGATATATGTTATTTTAGAAGAGCGGCATGAATTGAAAAATGACGAAAAATAGCTATATAATTGGTCAAAAGGTGTGTATTCAAATACCTATTAGTATATTTTTCAAACACTGTTTTTTTTTTATATATGATGATTTATTGCAAATGTTTAAGGCATTCTGCTGTGACAGTAGGTACTGCAGTGCCAAGTCGTGGACAATGTGGAACAAAGGGTTGAAATGATTATTGATAAAGATGAAAGACGTAAGGGACCCGTATCACTTTATCGACGGTCATTTAATAGACACTTATATTTAAACTTAACACATCATATTACTCATATTAACGATCACATCATACAATTCCGCTTTAATTATAGAGTTCTCCTTAGTATTATTCCCAGGTATAATTAAATACAAAATAGTCTTCGGAGTTTTGATTCCGCAAAACACGGTATACTTCTATGCGCTTTGACTATTGAAATTTCCTTTTTGATGCATCTAAATAACAGAAATGAGTTTTGGCATTTTTCCGTGTAACGCCGCGTGTATATATTTGTACTTTATGCATGCTTACGCGTTTGTGTAATATGATTAATCACTCTAGACTCAAGCTGGCTTGTTTAAAAAATCCGACAAAAAAAAAGAATAATTTATAATTTCATAATTTCCCATGTACAATCAAATTTCGCTGTAAATCCCATTTAATATTAAGAATCGCTTTCGAATTTGAATAAAATTCTTGAATACAAATCAAACAACGACGTTAATATACTTAGGTTCCTTGGAAATACAAATAAAAATGCTAGAACGATATGAAGAAACACTCTCCAATTTAAGTAAGGTATTAGAAATCGAGTCAAATAACACTGAAATTCTCGGTCTTCGTGGGAGTGTTTATATAAAACTAGAACGGTATGAGGAATCATTCGCAGACTTGAATAAAGTACTGAAAATTAAACCAATTAATGTACATGCATTTATAAAAAATGAAAATATTCATTATGTTGCCAAAACAAAAGTTAGTGGAAGATGGGAAATGGAAATTAACAAAATATTTGAGTGTCATGTAGATACACATATAAATCCAAACCATTATAATGAATCTCATATAAAGCTAGAACACTATGAAGAGTCACTTGTATATTTGAATAAGGCATTAAAATTTGAACAAAATAATGTAAAAATGCTCGGACTCCGTGGATATATTTATACAATTCTAGAACGATATGAAGAATCAATTATAGATTTAAGTAAGGTATTAGAAATTATGCCAGACTGTGCTGAAATAATTGGTCTTCGTGGAAGCGTTTATATGAAACTTGAACGATATAAAGAATCACTTGTAGATTTAAATAAAGTATTAGAAATCGATCCCAGCAATGTACTTGCGCTTATAGAACACGGAAGTATTCATTATATATTAAAAAATTTTACATTGTCATATGAAGATTGGAATAAAGCAAGTAAGATTCAAAAGGAATATGAAGAATCACTTACAGATTTAAATATGTTATTGGGAATTGAGCCAAATAATGTACAATTACTCGAACAACGTGCTTATACTTACGAAATGCTAGAACAGTATAAAGAAACACTTGAAGATTTAAATAAAATATTAGAACTCGAACCAAATAACGTGAGAATACTTAGATTTCGCGTAAATACTTACAGAAAATTGGATTGGTATGAGGAGTCGCTTGCAGATTTAAATAGGACACTAGAGCTCGAAGCAAAGAACAAAGAAATACTCAAATTTTGCGGAAATATTTACATACAGTTAGGTCGGGACGAAGAATCACTTGAACATTCTGAGGATTGACAATGAGGACTCCAGCATTAGCAAAAGCATTTATATAAAATTAGAATTTATGAAATTTTACTCGAGGATTTAAATCAAAATTGGAAATTGGCCAATTAATGTGCCTGAACTTGTCGGACATGGAAATATTCATTATTTATTAAGAAATTATGAACAGTCACTTGAAGATTGGAAAAGGCGTTGGAAATTAGTCCGATTAATACAGAAATTCTCTAGTGTTGACATCATAATTTATTGACTCCGACTCTGCAACTTATCTATTCGTTTGTCAAAAATTTTTCGGCTTACTCTGAATTTATTAAACAGCTGTAATGAAGCATCATTTCTAAAAATGGCTGCAAAAAAACTTCTAGTAGTACATTATACGTTTTAAATATATATTATAACAGTACTAAGAGATTAGTTTGTGCTGGTATATTTAAATTATGTTACGTCAGAACTTGTTATAGTCACTCGATATAGTTACAACCTTGTTATAGTCACTCGATATAGTTACAACCTTGTTATAGTCACTCGATATAGTTACAACCTTGTTATAATCTCACTATGTCTTACATTCCTAGCTATTATAAGACATAAATTTTGACCATATAGTCACAACTTTTTATAATCACCAAATGTCTGTTTTCCGACCTGGTGATTATATCACTGTATTTTGATGTCTAAAATAAACAGAACTTGTTAGATTTTTTATATTACCAGGAATCGGAAACTGATGTAAGTTTGGAGCTTGAAGAATAGGATTATTTAATAGTATTTGTGTTAATTATACAATAAAATCATTTTTTATTTATAGTGAAAGATCATGTGATTAGACGGACAGAAAATTCATAATTGCGTTTTTGATGTTTGAATATTAAATGCATCAAAAACTTAACTTTTGTATCATTGAACAACTAACTCTTTATATAGGATTTCTATTAGACTCAAACAAGTTAGGAAATTATTATGTAATTGTATAGTAATTGCCATTACTAATAAAAGTATTACGCAAGAAAAATGTGTAATAACTGATAATAAAATCTATTACGAAAAATATCATAACACCTGTAAATGTGCATTATTAAGGGTTTGTTTGTTAAATACTTTTTTAGTGCTTATCGTTATTATTAAACCAATCTTTTTAAAATAGAATGCATACATATTCCAAATACGGTAATCCACATTGTATGAATATTTATTAACTTATCAGGCTTCGTCATAGGTTTCGTCATATCACCATAGATTTTATCAATCGTCATGGGTTTCGTCAATCGTCAATTCACCAATTAGAAATCGCTTGGCGAAATGGTTTCGTCATTCATCAATAACGAATATTTCGTCATTCGTCAGGCATAATTTGCTAGGGCTGTTAAAAATTTGTGGCTTTTTGTCCAACTTTATTAAAAGGAATTATCTAACGCTAAACAATCTAATTCAATTATTACCTGTAAATATATTTACTTATTTCATGATCCCATATTATATAAATTGGTAGATTTTTATCCAGCTAAATTAATCAATTATAAAATAATCTGATTCCGTTCTATTTTCTGTTTTATTCTTAAAAATGGATCTTACAAAATTCAAATATTTACTACTTATTATTTTTATAATTAACATTGCTTCTGCTTGTCCAGGTAATGAAACCTTCATTAGATGTTTGAAAGATAAATGCTTGAATGATATTTATCTTTATTAATTTAATAGGTAATGATATTCAATGCAATAATGCTTGCAAATATCAGGGACATGGGTGTGGTAGATGTGAAAATTTCGCTTGGAAAGACTGTGTATGTCATGATGATGACTCCACATGTAAAAGTGCTGGATAAACATTTTAAATATATTTATTTATGAAGTAAGTTTTTTACAAATTTAAAAAGATATCATATCGTATTAAACATATTGCTAATAAATCAGTTTCATTATTGCCAAATAATTTAGAATTGAGTAATTATGATGTTTAAAGAACAAAATATTTATTATTTTCAATAGTTGAAATATTTTATTATAAGATATCTTTGCAAAGTTTTTATCAGTAACAAAGACAAAAGAACGATATAAATTTGTTAACAGATACTAAATAATCAGTACTATATATTATATCTTTACAATTTCTTAAAAATGTACACATTACTTGATTTTTAACTATTCAAATGTTCAAATTGATTCTAAATGTGATTATAAATATATTTATAATTTATGTATTTTCACAGCATCTAATATAAAAGATAAAAAACACAAAGACTCAGCGGTATGGATACACACAGTAACAATCAATAAATCTAGTGTTGCTTTACGTAAACATGATAAGGTAGTGAAATATACCGGATCTAATATTTTGCATGTGATTAAAAACATGATAGAAAAAAAGATAAAAAGATTTAGAAAGAACAGCGAATAATAAAAAACAAAGGGCTACTCAAAGAATTATTAACCTCATTATTGCATTCTTGTAATATATATAGTAATAACATCGTCACATTATAGTAATTTTATACATATACGGTAATATGTAATATAATAATGAATAAAGTACGCCAATTGGCGTTCCTGGGCTGGCAAATGAGTAAAAATAATTCTGTGTAAGGTGTAACCAATTCATACATGATCCCCAAAATTCCATATAAATCTAGCTAAAAAATTTGCCCGACTATGTGACCTTATTAAAAAAATTGTATCGCAATTAGTTTAGGGTTAGGGTCCTTTCAGTATGTCAGTATTTGGTTTAAAGGGTTAAAGCTATAATGACATTTCATGAGGAAAACGTTTTAGCGTTTTTTAGTATCAATGTTGTGAGCCGTGAAACGTGATCCGGAAGCACGTGGAAGGAAACCAACCTAGCGTCACCCAAAAAATCAGTTACATATCGGAATTTGAAAAAATTAAATATCAGAACTCAGATAATAGTCGATTGACCGATAGCTTTGTATGCAATTATCGATCGTAATAATATTTTTTATTTAATAAAATGCATGTAATAGCATTAATTAAATTCTTGACTAAATCAAATTTAACATTAATAATAAAATAAATACATGTTTGAAAAACATGAATAAAATATATATATATATATATATATATTTTATCCAAATTTTTTTTTTAAAAAAAATTATTGCCAATAAAAAGTGTTAGAATTATATCCATTCCATGTTTTTCTCAGAGTTTTGGTATTCTCAAACTTTTCTAAGTCATCATTATTTTTTTAATAGGATTCAAATTTATTTCAATAGAACTTAACCATTTTCTTCGTTTAGGAAGAATTTTCAATTTTTCAATAAACTTGATTGTCTGCTAATTAAATTTATTAATAATTATATTGTATAATATATTATAGATTAATAGTAATATAAGGGTGTGGTGACTTAGTGAAGTGGTCAAGTTGTTGCACCCCAAGTGACAAGATCTAAAGTTTAATTCCTATTGGTGATGAATATTGAAAATTAAAACTCTTGTATGCCTTAATTGATATGTCAACTTAATTAGGAATGTTGACTTATTGGCTGTAATTTATGGTATAAAACCAAGTAAAGTTGATAACAGATCTGCAGTGATCCATGTTATGGTATCTATATCTGAAAGCAAATAACTGCAGAAAGTTTATTCTGATTAGGAATATTGAGGAATACAAGCTAATATATATAGATGTACCCCTGAACATTGTAAAATAGTCAGTATAAACACAAGATAAATCCATATTAGGTTACAGTAGATCTGTGTTGTGAAATCTACAAGAACACTAATTAGAAAGACTACTTAAAAAGTCCTAAGTATGATGTCCATACCTAAAAACTCATAATTGTAGAAAGTTTCTGATTAGAAATATGAAGAAATACAAGCTGATATATATAGATGTACTCTTGAACATTATAAAATAGTCAGTATAAATACAAAATAAAATTATACAAGGGTTAATATAAATATGCAGAATAGGAACTCCATAGTTTACCCAGTGTTATCACTATACAAACAATAAACAAAAATACACACAAACCAGGGCTACCGAATAATTGATTGTGAGGGCAATTAATTGCAATTATTTGACCTCAATTAATTGATTGGTGGCGCAGTTACAATTTTTCAATTAATTGCAATTTTTGTCGCAGCTTGTAAATATAATAACTTGCTGATCTTTGACATCAAAATTATAGTTAAAAAAAACTTATCGTTATGATTATTATGTAAAAATTGCAATTAATTGCAATTATTTCACAATTAATTGTTTTACAATTGTTTATCTGTAACAATTTAATTGATTGCAATTGTGTAATAATTTAATTGCAATTAAATTTTCGGTACCCCTGACACAAACTGATCATCTTCTATAAACACATAAATGCAGCTGTCACCTTACTAAAAGATACAACTGATTGTAGTTAGTAAGGAGAATGATGTATGGAGGCAGGTGATCAAGCCTCTATATGTGGAAGATCAAGATTATGATAGTCAGACCCAATGTACAGGGCAGACTTTGGTACCTTGCATAACAGTTAAAGCTGAGTATATGGTGATCGATCCTGTAGAAGACAATCTTAGAAGATTATTCTCAACATCTTTAAGACCCTATGATCTTTATACATGTTTTAACAAATTTCTTCTTTATTACAATTTACCACTTCTTTCTCATGATCAAACAATTCAATTTCTTATACAATATATTAACAAATATAATCATAATAACACTGTTTCTAGTATTACTTTCTCTGTTAGTAATACTTACAATGAAATCTATATATATCTTCCAAATGACTCCCTCTTACCTAATCATACTATTATCCATCCTTATCTTTTTCCTATCTTTTACAATCTTTCTCTTAGATCAAATCCCTCTAATCCTACTTCTATTCTATCTGATTTATTTCTAAACAATTACACTACACTACAAGTACTCACATCTATACAAACTTTATGTAACCTTCACTTAAACATTTGTATACACAATGTTAAAGGTTATAATACAGTAACTAAAAGAGAAGCTTGGCAAAATTATTGTCTTTACAATAATATCCATGTCTCTTATATTACTGAAACCAAAATCGCTAACAATATTAATCTTCAATTTTATAATAACAACTTATTTACCTATTTCTGGATCAATTTAAAGTTCAGCAGAAGGTGCTGACATTATGATTCAAAAACACTTATAACCACATATACATAATTGCCAAACACATCCTGATAAAGCAATTGCTTTAAATCTATTTTTCAAAAGTGAAATCAAACTTCAAATTATAGTTGTCTACTTTTTTTCTACTA